AAGATATTGCCGTCTCTTATCTGTACTAAGTCACCGTAATTTAGAATAAAATGGTTCATGGTGTTCTGTCTTAATCGAAAAATGAAGACAGATAATTTTTATTTTTTGCATTGCAAGTTTATTTGAAAATCATCTGAAAAAACAGCACAAGAGTCAAACCAATGTAGAAGAGAGTTTACGACAATATTAATGAGAATGAAAAAAGTAATCGTTCCTGGATTAGTTCATTATGGAATACCCGGGGATAGACAACCCTATAACACAATTGCTTGGGATCGTACGTCGGATAAATATGAAGAGAACCATTTATTAAACTTAGAGCCATTTAATTTACGTATAACTTTGAGCAGGGTTGAACGTTTGTCGGAATCAAAAGTTGTTCGAAAATCGAATCATAGGAAATAACAAGCTCATTATCGTCGAATAACATTTATGATTTTGCGTACCATCAAATTTTTTCAAATCAGACTGTTCAACTGATAAAATCCTATTAGACTCAAGATAATCTATAAATTTAGTGGTGATAAGTTTGTCAAATACTTTAGCATAGTAAACCCAGTTTGCTATAGACCGAGGGTCCGATGGAGGTTTCGGTAAACGAATTTTATTTAGAGATATAACTAGCGATTTTTTCCATAAATTACGATAAATAACATAATCAGAAATGTGTTAAAAATGTCAGTCACAAAGTTACCAAAGTAATTAAGCGATCAATCATGTTGATGACTACAAATATCAGTAGGACATCATGTTCTACTTTCGTAGTTTGGAAAATTGTAATATTCGTGAAAAATTGAACATCGCAGATCGGAGAGGGAGGACGAATCGACGATGCTAATTAGTCGCTTTAAATGCAGAAGCATCTGGTTGCGTGGCTGAGAAGGGCGAGAATCAGTCCGTGTAACGCACAATGCTGCTGCTGCTGCTGCTACTGCATCGACAGATCGCTTATCTGCTCGCTGAGTTACGTCACGGACGGAAAAAAGGCTCTGGCTGCGACTGTGCTCTGCTCGTTGCCGCTGCTTAATAGCGCTTTAAATTATCCACGCGAGGAGAAAAGGAAAAAAAGGGGGACCAGGCAGGAATTCGGCCGAGTAACGAGGCTGCGCACATACCCATCTTTATTGTCCGCGGGTGGATTCGGTCTCTGCTCGTCGGCGCGAACGGACCCTGCGGAACCATCGTCAAAAGACGACAATTGGCGAGTGCGGTGACCATCGCGCGAGAGAGTGCGCGCATGCTTCCCACGCGAGGCACGTAAATTTTAGATAGCGCGGGATGACATCAGTGCATGCGCGGCGAGACTAATGGATGCCCACCGGTGTCGTTAGTGCTGCTCCGAAAGCGCGCGAGTCGCGGGGAAAAAAGCCAGTAGTCTCGTTCCCCGTGCGACGGCCGTGCGAGCGTAACGGTGCTGAATTAGCGTGCCGAGCGCCGTGGGCAGCGACGGCCTTGATTTCGCGACGACAAAAAATCTGGCATGCAGCAGCGTTGGGTGTGCCGACGCGCGCGTGTAGCAGAGGCGCGCCAAGTGCAACTGGAGCACGGAATCCAACGCGCGTAGTTACCTAATCTCTCTCTCTCTCTCTCTCCGCGCGCTACGGCAGCCACGACTAGCTCCGCCAGTTACGTGCTTCCGAAGCGGAAGTTTGCACGCAGCTGGTTTTTGCACCGAAACGATTACGAGAGAGTCGCGGAGGACGACTAATTTCGAGACTTGTCATTGAAGTTTGTTTTTTATTATGTCGGCGAGGGGCAGCGCTTGTCAGCGGAGAAAAATCTGTTTACGCCAATTCATACATTTCCACGGCTATCTTATTCTTTCGTGTGGAAGCCCATCGGATTAGAAGGAATTCTTCCGCACAATAATTACATAATCATCCAGCAGCGGCGTCTAGACTTGGAATAATATTCCCATATCGCACGATAGGCTTCTTCTTTAAATTTCTACTCTTTAGCTACTCCGCAGATTGTCACTCGCGTATTTACGCAAGGAGGAGACGGCTGGAGGGGAAACGACGAATCAAGATGGGTTTATTTACCACGCTTACAGTCGTTCGATCGACTCAATGTTTCAAGTCTCGCCAGAGCCTCGCAGCCGCCGCATCTCCGCGCACGGCACCTAGGAGTGCGCCTCGCTCGGCGACGATTGCCCGCGCGGAAAGTAGCTCGGCAGCGCGTGATTCAGTGGAGCAATTAGTCAGGCGCGACGGGACAAAGATCGGTCTAGTCACCTCTTTCATGCCGTCGAGTCTGCCGAGGCTCTTGGTGCCGCGCAGGGGCGGGAAGGCGGCGTCCTGCCAGGAGAGCGAGTGCGCCTCGGCGCCGAGGTTCAGTCCCCGGGCCCGGCTCTTGCTCTTGCGCTTGTCGAGCAGGTGCTTGGCGCGACTCTTCCGCGGCGCCGACTGCTGCACCTGCGCCGCCGCGCCGCCCGGCTGCGACTCTTCCTCGGGCTCGCTCTGCACCTCCCAGCGCGACGGCGACTTGAACCGGCGCCGCGGCGACTGCGGCGAGGTCACCGGCGAGGTGAGCCGCTGCACCAGGCTCCCGAACATCGTCATGCTACCGACGCAGCGCCACTCAGACGACCGGCAGCGGCGGCGGCAGCCTCATGTCCTCGGCGGCGCACTGTCGCACTCGCGAAACCAACCGGTGCTCGCACCTGCGCCTCGCACCAACACTCTCTCGGACGAGCCAACACGAACCAAGCGTTTTCCCGGCGCCAGTCGAGGCCGCCTCAGTCGCTCGTCTGTCCGAATGAGCCGTCTGCTTGGTGCCGAGAGCGGATCGGAACTGGCGCGCGCTCGCGGCGGCGCTGGCCAGCGAGCGCAGCCCGAGCGAGCGCGCGAGCGCTGTCGGCGGCGGCCGAGGAGGCCCGAGCGCTCGCGGACTCGCACGAGCCCGCCGCCGCGCTCGGCCGCGGCGGCCGAGGGTCGCCTGCCCCGCTCCTCGCGGCGGCTGCCCGCGACGCCTCCTGCGTGTCTACGCCGTTTCCGAAAACTGGTGCGCGGAGGCTAATTGGGGCAAGAGCGCACGCGGCCGGCGCTGCGCCTAATTTGAGCGGCGACTCCCGCGGAGCGGGCCTGTCGCCGGCCGCGACGCCCGAGTACGGCGGGCCGCGCGGAAAAAAGCCGGATGCACGACGAAGGGGCGTCGCCGGGGGAGCAAGGAAACCGCGAGGTCCCCGCTGCGGCGTTGCGCCGGGTATCCGCCGATTTCGCCGCCTTATCAATCAACGTCGCCGAGCCTCTATTTGGCTTTTTCCTCGGGCTCGACGAGCTTGCAATCAGAGAGCTTCTTGCTCGCGGGCGCGCTCGCCGCGTGATTGATCGCCGCGTGCGCGCCGAGCATGCAGATCGCCGTCGCTTTTTCTGCGCTTCCTTTTCGGCCGACGCGGGGCGCTCGGAAAAACGCGAACGCGTAGCTCACCTGATTGCGATTGACTGCTCAGCGGCCGGGCGATCAATCACGCGGCCGGCTCGCCGCGAGCGCGCGGGGATAATTGAACTTTTGACGAGTCCCCTAATGATTTCGTCGCGCTCGCGTGCATGCGTGCCCGCGCGCTGCCGGCAGATCAGAAAAACCGCTCGCCGCTTTTTCCCCTCCGCCCGCCGACCGACCGCCGCAGACCGCCACGCCAATTTACGATTATTCCCGCGCGGCGAGTCGCTCGCCGGAAAAAACTCGAGCTTCGCGACGCCTCTCCCTCTCTCGCGCTCTCGCGCTCTCGCGCTCTCTCGCTCTCTCGCTCTGTCGCCTCGGCGAAAAAACAGCGAGCAACGCCGCAGACGCGCTCGCGATAACGATCGAGCGACAGGCTCCACGGTTCGATTTATCATAATATCGTCGGATAAGTGACGTGGCTGGCGCGTTCTCCGTCTCGCGGCTTTCCTTTTGCACGCGCAGAGGCCGAAAAAGGATCCGATTACCGGACGATCGGCCGCCAGAGATAATCGGCGCGGAGAGAATGCAGGTGTACGAGAGAGGCAGACTGACTCCATCTCGGGCCGCGGCGCTGCGCTTTTCGTCTTGCCGCGCCGCGCGCTGCGGAAAACCGATTGCCGGAGAACCCACTGACCGAGATACAAGCGCGCGCGGTCGCGGGACAGACAGGCGCGGGCGAAATCGTTTATCTGGATTTTCGCGTTTTGTCAGTTTGGACGTATATTTTCACCCTGTCGGCGCTCGGCACAACGAGGCGCTCACCGTTATGGTCGTCCCATTGCACGCCGAGGGAGTAGGTCGAGGAGATCATGCAATCGCTCGAAGCAACTGCACGGTGTGCCGACGAGGGACGCGTTTCTCCGATTGATCCTCACTCGCGTTTGATCGCACAGGCTGGATAATCCCGGATGACGCGTGTTGTTCATGGTTGTCAATGGATATACCGAAGAGCAAACAGTCCCCCCGTCGAAAGCGGGATCGCGCTTTGTCCGCTGCTTCGGGGAGCATTCCTGTGAGCCGCGGTGCTCGCTCGGTTGCACAAGGGCCGAAACGCAGCACCGAGCAAACTTACGAAAGACCGCGCACGCACAGCCCCGGGCGTCTCGCTCGCCTGTGCATGTATGCAGGGAATTAGAGAGAGAGAGAGAGAGAGAGAGAGAGAGAGAGAGAGAGAGAGAGAGAGAGAGAGAGAGAGAGAGAGAGAGAGAGAGAGAGAGAGAGAGAGAGAGAGAACGCGCACGTATCGCGCTCGCAGACGGCGAGATTGTTGGCCCGCAGGAGCACCGCCGACGCGCGCAGGCTTTCACGATTAGCCGAGCTGCCGCGTCTCGCGCGCGTCGTTTCCGTTTCCCACGATTGCAGCAGCGCGCGACATCGCGGCCCGCGGGGCTCGTACGTCGGCGAGCCGAGCGAGAAGTCCCTCCTGCGCGATTCGTCTCGCCGCACTGTCGGCCGAGAACAATCCATTGACGGCGCGCTCGCGCTTCTCGCGGAATGCCGGCACGCGGGCAGCCCCGTCGACGTCGCCGGTGATATTTGTAAACACGAAAGTCCTCGGGCTGACGGGCATCTCCGTTCCTTCTTCGAACACGCGCTGCCTCGCACTTTTCAAGCTCCCATTCGAGAGCCTCGCATTGTTGGCTCGCGGCGAAAAGCCACGACTTATCAATCGGTCATCGGCAAGTCAAAATTAAGACACTTTCGATGGGTTTTTGCGCGCGCGCGCGCGCGCGGAGGTGATGAGCATAGTGGGGAGAGCGCGACAACTACGCGTCACGCGTTCAATAACTGAGCTCGGTCATCTCCAGTTTACATTACTACGCCTTGCCGCTGAACAAAAGAGAGGTTATTTCACACTTGGAAATTGTCGGCGTTCCTTCGCGCGCCGCACTGTGCCGCTGCTAATAGCCGAGGGACACTGAAGGCGTTCAGTCGCGCGAGGCTTTCTATGGATTTTCCATGGGTTTGTGAGACGCAAACAGGCGAGAAAATAGTGCTGCATCGTTCGACTGTCACTTACAAGGTGCTTGCTTTCCAGTAGGCCAGCGCGTGAACAAAGATATTTTCACGAAAAGTTTGTGAGTATTATTGAAAGTGGCGTGCTTGTACGGTCAAAGACAAGCTTACAGATCAATCTCAGCCTACGGCTTATTTACACAATATTGACGATCAACGAACGTTACTAATTATCTTCTCTCTAAATCGTGAATTTTTCATTGATACAATTCGAGATCGTGTAAACAGCATCTTGATTAACGTCAACAGCGTGACAGTACTTCAACCGCCAATTCAATGTCACCTTTTTTTTAACGTTAACTCAACGAAGGCTTTTGTTTTGGTTTGCTATACCCGCGATCGGTATTTACGTAAAATCACTTTGTTGACGAAGACGCCACCTACAAAAACAAAGCGGCAACGCGTTCCACAAAAATTTTACGCGTTGTCTGGCGCTCCAAATATTTTTCGACGCGCCGGAAAGTACGACGAACGTGCGTTTTAATTCGCGCCTTCCACACGTTATTTCAACAAAAACTGTTCCCAACATGTTTGAGTAAGAGAGTCTCGTCTCGCGCAACGTTGCCGCTCGAGCGAAACGAGAGAGGGTGGAAAGGCATTTACTATTTCTGATATTGTCGAGTACGCGTTGGGAAAGTCAATATTTCATGATTTTTTGTTCGAAGCAAAAGATGCAGAAGATGCGCGGTCGACGTACGTCATATTTATGAAGCTCGCGAAAGTAGATTTTATTTCGACAATTTCGACATTATTTCGGAGCTGTGCTGAGAAGTTCCTATGAAACTTGATGAACTTTGCAGAAATTAGAAGAAATGATGAATTTATTGACTTTTCAGCAACATGTCGAAGCCGGGATCGACTGGATTTTCAGCATTTTCCCGAGAATGGAAGTTAAACAAAGAGAAAGAAGGCTACCGCTTTAAAGATCTAAGGGAAGCCATGGCTAATGAACAGTGTTATGCTACTTGGAAAGTCAGTATTGTTTACCGACCTTGAATGGGTCCTTTGATAATCGGCTGTTACTATTTACAAACGTTTGTCCTTGCAATTTCAGAACTTGCCGGAAGACGTGAAAGATTACTACAGAATTTTGGCAAAGTGTTCTGATCATCATTCAAAAGCGGGAGGGAGAGATAGAAAGAAAAACTCATCGGACAATCGTCCACTGGGCCGCAACAACGGTCGCCGGGCGTCCTATGCCTACAATCGGCCAGGGCACAGCTCGGGACAGTTGTCGGGTAAGCCAGCTCAGTCAAAGATACAATTGCCACCAGACACCAGGAGGTTCAAGGGCACTATGGAGGAGTACATGGCTCTCTTGATGGGTTCTAGAAAGCAACAAAACTGTGAGTTGGCTACAGCCATCGTGTGTTGTCTTGCCTGGCGATACGTATACAGTTTGCATTAGATTAACAGGCGTTCCGTTGCAGGTGTGCAAAACTTGAGCTTTTACATTGTCCACGCAAACTACTTTTACTTCCGAGAGCTGGATAATAACGTGAGCGATTATTATCCCGTAGAAGTGGCAGTCGCAGAGTGCTCTTTGGAGAACGGCGTGAAGAGAGTTCACCACGTTATCGTGAAAGAGGATATAGTCAAGGGCTACCGTAACGATGCAGTCATACGCGCTGAAGAGTCACACAAGATGCCTATTGACTTCAATTTGCTGGGCAAAGTCGAGGTGGAAACCAATTATTCGGAAATATTTCAAAGTATTTGCAAGTTTATAGAGCCAGGAAGCATCGACGGTGAGCTACCTCCGGTGTTTACCATGAGATCCAATGACGAGCACATTTGGAAGCCCGTCAAGTCCATTCTTGGCAGATTAGCTCTAGCGGACCGTGAGTATTGATATTCTCTTCGGTCAATTAGCACTTGCACAACTGCACTTGCACACTTGTACCGTGTCTCTTTCGTTCTTCTCCCACGACAGACAAGCATCCCGATCACTTGAACCTTTACTCCTTTGAAGACTTGTTCGCCTTCATCTCCAACGCCGTAATGATCAAAGACAAGAGTGAGTTCGATGTTGCTCAAGCTGTCGAAAGAATCGAGAAAGACCCGAATGCTCACACAAACGGTTTTGGCTGCGAGGTAAGCTTTGTAGCTTCATTTTCCTTCTTGTTGCGCATCGAAGAGAATGCTACGACGGCGATTTCCCGCATCATCTTTGTTACAGTATCACCAACGCGTCGGAGAAGGCGAGCTCCACTGCAGCTCGCACTTCGTGAGGCGCTGGTGGTACAGGCTCTGTGATTACTGCTGCGATGCACTGAGAATCGAGAAGATTCCTGGCGTACACGGTCCTGTCGACGCGGAGCCGCAGAAGCTCGTCTTCACCAAGCTGAACTTGAAGCAGGGCTTCGGTCCGAAAGAGCCGAGAGATCAAAAACGATATTTCAACAGATATAAGTGAACAGTACGGGAAACGTCGATTGTCATGGTTGAAAGATTACTGTTAATAGGTTAATGCTATTTCGCGCAAGTAAATAAAGATTTTTGCCACTCTCGTTCTCATCGAGCTAATTTCATGGATACAGCCACGCCATGCCAGCTGCGGGATAGCATTTCGGCGCGGCAACGAACCTGAAAATTCGATACGACACCGTGCCACCGCCGGTCCCGCTTGTCCCGCTTGTCCCGCTGATGTTTTCCTCGCCTTTTTGGAAATATCACGGGCGCTGCGGACAGGTGGAAGCGGAGCGCATTGCTAATCGCACGCGTATTTTTCATGAAAGAGAGAAGTCATCAAGTGTGAGAGGCCGACTACTAATCTCGTTAACCGAATCTCGGCGTTTTCACGGTGCGCGCACACGCGCGGCAGACACTTTCACTCCGCGGCCGCCTCCCGTCGACACGCACAGGCTATGCTCGAAAATTGGCGTGCTCATTGTGCGCGAGCGGCAGCCGCAGACACTTGATTCTCATTTTGTTTTTTCCGCTCCTGCGAGTCGACCGCCGCTCGTTCTGTTTCTCTGCTCTTTGCAGGCTGGCTGGCTAAAAGCGCCCGGAGGCGTGTGAAACCGAGCCGAGTCTTCGAAAATTGCATTGTGCGCGTGTCGGCGAGTGGGTGCGCTCGCGCGCGACGATGGGCTTTAATCGGACTTTCATCGGCGACACGACGCCCATTTCCGATGGTCTTACAGCGTCCCGGGCTCTGGGAGGCAGCCAAGAGCCATGGGAAAGCGGAGAGCACGCGACGACTTAGGACGAGGACGAGCAGGCGTCTGGCCTGCCGAGCCGCGCCGGCGGCCGATGCCATACGTCGCGTATTTTTGTTTGCGAGCAATTGGCACTCGATCACCGCCGGTGAAACTCGCGGCAGCGCGGCTTTATAAATCGCGGCTGCGCGCGGACTTTTAGAAACCGCCGCGGGCAAGCGCAATCAGCGAGCAGCGAGCAGGCGAGTGCACGCGCGAGGCGAAACGAGCGGTCGTTCGATTTGCACATTTGCGCCTTTTGACCTCGCCTACTTCGTACGTACGCGCGAACGTTCGACGTGATAATCATCTTCGGGGCCTAGGGGCAGTCTGCGCGCGCGCGTGTGGCGTCGTCGAGTTTACTCGCTACGTCGGCTGCTTTCTCCTTTTCCCTTTCTTTCTCGACTCGCCTTGGGCCGCGCGCACGTCCAACGCGCCCTCGCCGGCCGGCGCTTAATTAAGACGAAATCGCGGCTCGATCGGCCGCGAATACACACGCGCGCGGATATCGGATTTCGAGCGCGCGCGAGCTTTCTCCATTGATGCGTGCGTACGTAGCCGTGGCCAATTAAGGAACGAGGTTAAAGACCCGCATAATTGCGAGCGGGTTAGCGAAGCGCGTGAATTGGCGCTCGCGCGTTATGTAAATATTTGCGACTCGCTTTCGAGAGGCCGACGTTGTCTCGATAACTGCTCTCCTTTGCTTTTGGCTCGCTCTCGGCTCGCTCTCGGCGCCTGCAGCCCGTGCGCCGCCGAGGAAATCGAAAAAATGCGGAGAGTCGGACCCGGCAATCGGTTCTCACGTACGCACGAGCGTTATCTCGTTCAAGCGAATCAGCTGCTAAGCAGCAAGTTGCGAAAGTAACGAGATAACTTACGTAAGGGTAATAATAGGCGAGCGCGAACGTTTAATAAAGACGTGAGAGAGAGAGAGAGAGAGAGAGAGAGAGAGAGCGCTGCGCCGCAGTGCGCAATGCGCGCATATCGCAGAGGATGCGTGCCGCGGATGCTTAGACAGCCCGAGCGCAATCATCGCCGAAAATGTCGAACCAATCCGACGACGACAAATTGCCCCTAGGCGTCACTTTCGCGCGCTCACTTTCTTTGACTTCCTCCTCATCCCTTGCCATTCTCTCTCTGTTTCGCGGCGAGTAGTGGCACGCCGCAGCCAGCCGGTTTCTAAATTCACAGCGGCGTCGCCGCCGGCGATACGGCGTCTCGAGAACGCGTGGGCGCTCCACTTGGATATTCAAACTTTTGCCCCCGGAGCATCGACTAATCGTCGTCGTTTCACTGTGGCGCTGCTGCCGTCTGCGCGCCGTCGAGAATATCAGAGCCGAGTTGCGCAACGCTTCCGCCTCGAATGAGCGAAGCCTTCCCTCATCGTATCCAAATGCAATCGGGCGTTACGAAATCGGGACTCGGGGTCCTTTGGACGCGTATAGCACACTTGCTCTCGTTTGCAATCTCAGCGTGGCACCGCGGACGCCCCGCGACGACAAAACGGGGACGGACAGCCTAGTTTGGATGTTTGACAGTTGGGGCCTCGGCGCTATTGTCTCGAGCGGCCGCTTCTTCTTTATCCTGCTCTTCTGCCATTTGCATACACCTGGATCTGCGATGCAGTCGCGCTCGGGTTCGCTGCGTACGTTTCTTATTATCTAAATTTAGCCGCGAGAGCAGCTCGCGCAAAATAAAGAATTTGGCTTCGCCAGCGGGATACCTGTTTTTCAGCTTCTTCATTCATCAACGTTTTAACAGTCTCTCGGCGCTTGCGCGTCCTTTTATTATTTTTTCTCTCCTCCCAGCTGCCTTCGCATATTCTGAAATATCTCCTACGCGCGGATGCTTGTTATAATGTAAACAAATATTCCGCCTCGAGATAGTCGCGAAACAGGAATCTCTATGCAGTTCGCTCACGGCTGGCTCGTGTGACATCACGGATCTCCCCGCGCGGCCGAGTGTACGCGTATAGGATCTTTGCCGATATTGGCGAGGCCGACTATTGACTGAAATGCATATTTACATTTGCCGCTCGAGCTGCGAAGCGAGTCAACTCGCCAAAGCACGATTACCTTGAAAAATGTTAATGACGAAATGGAAAGAAGGAAGGTCTCCCCGGCAATTTGAATACAATGGTGCGGCCGTCCCAACGTAAACAAATATTTCGCGCGAAATAATCGCGAATTGGCAATCCGCGTGTTGGCGGAGTGGAGAGGGCGCGCGAGCGCGATATTACAGATGTTGCGAGACAAAAGATAATCGGGCTGGCTCGAGCGTGTGCGAGGAATCGTAAATTCGCGCACAAGTACGCGGCGGCGGCGGCGGCGGCGGCGGCGGCGGCGCGCAGCCAAGAAGGGAGAGAGAGAAAGCTGCGACGGCGCTGGCTCTCGGCTTGGCTCGACGCATCGACAGCGAGAGTCGGGAAATTCTCTTCGAACAACATCGCCTGGGGACGCGGTTGGCGCGGCTAAAGTGGCGCGTCAAAGTGCGCGCCGGGCCCCACAAGCGATCGCGTGCAACAAAACCGATCTGCGCGAGCGGCCCTCTCGCTCGCTGACTCAGCGCAGCAGCAGCCACCGCCGCCGCCCGTTTTTCCCTTCCTTTTCTCGACTGCTCGGCTGCTCGCTTCCAAGCCCCGCCACGGCTCGCTAAGTTTCGGAGGGCAAAAACGACTGGACGTGGGCGAGATTCCGGGGGCGCACTCTCGACGCGTGATTGACCAGACGCTTCTTCTCCTCGTCCTCCTACTGCGAGATCTGTATCGCCGAGATCTCCCCGCTGCGATTTATTCCGGAGCTTCTTCGACGCGAGGCCCGACAGACGGAGGTACGATCAAATAATTGTACACCATCTGCCTTCTCTTTCCTCGAGACGCGTCCAAATCCTAATCAAGTCTCCTTATCCCTTTCGACAATTGCCTCGGCAACGAGCGGAACCTGCTTTTCGGCTGACTTTCCGTCAAATTGTTCGTTATCCAAACTTTACGCTGGTCTCGGAGAGAAAACGACATTATTGTATGAAATTCGACGCGTCCGTCGAGTTTTAAACTACCTCTTTAAAAAGTGGTTGGCAAGACATTCTCGGCTGTGAGCGAGATGCCACGTACATGCGTGCACGCGAAAAACAAATTTATTGGAATGAGTTTGACGCAAGAAAAAGGAACAGCGCAATAAAAAGTTAGGTGTCGAACCATAAAACTCGATATTCTCTTAATGAAAGGAATAAAAGTCGTTTGCTCGACAGCTCTTTTCACAATCCAGCACGGGAGCGAGCTATGGAGAACGTAAAGCGCGTCGCGGGGCTGCGGCGAGCGCGAGAAATCCTGAAAACGAAAAGAAAAAGAAAAAGGAAAAAAAAGCGGCGCGCAGCAGTGTGTCAGGCTCCGAAGAGAAGTGAGCACTTTCCCGCGTGTTGCGGTTGCGCAGCTGCGCGCGAGAAACAATAATTCCATGGCGCGCGGCGGACCGCCTCGACAGGTCGCAGGCGGCGGCCAATGGAAGTGAAACGCTCGGGAAATTGAAAGTAACGCGAGCCCGGCAGTTGGCGATCAGTGCAATTATTATTGATTAATGCGTTGGAGCGGCTCGCAGGTACACGCGGCCTATCCCACTTGCCGCCTGTCCCTGATTACAGGCGTTTCGCGCGTCTAAGCTTTTCTGCTCCGCGGCACATAATCCTCGCTGCGCGGCCGCCTCTCGACCTATCCGCTGCCAATCTCTCTTTCTCATCAGTTGGCTAAACAACGCGCGCGCGCGACAATCACACGAGCGGCGAAAGTCAGCCATGTAAGCGTGTGTTTTCGAGCGGCTTTCGACCACAAGAGCCCCCTTCGGCTATATCATCGTCTTTTAGTATCCGCTGTTCTATTACCGAGACCTACATGTCTGTACGCGGATCGACTGATTTTAATGCTCGAAACCGAAAGTCTCTTGAGCAATCACTTCCAAGTCAAAGTATTTGACTTCTCGTATACGCGAACCCCATGCTATTTGCATGCATCAGTGTTTATTTAAATTGTAATCGTCATTGGCATGCACGCCCAAAAGTAATCGCGACAAAAGTAATAGCGATTTTCATTGAGCCGCTTTCTTCAAGTAAAACAACATAATTATCAGTTTATAAATGCATACGAGCAAAGCTAAAAAGTACTCCCCATAGAGAAATTCAAAATCCAATGATTGTCGATTCAGAATATTTACGAGGTGACTCGCAACTGACTGTCGTGCTCGATGTGAGGAACTGCGTTCATTTTCAAGTTATCTAAAACAAGCATACTATTTGCGCCAATAATAAAACAGCAATGCTATGACAGATATTTATGCAATTAT